GACCAAAATTACCAAATTTTGGTTTGCGGTCGTTACATTAGTTTTGGCGGGTGACTTTATAATCACATCGCACTTATCCTTCTCAAATAACTTTTTAGTTTCTACAAGCATTTAAATTACATGCAAGCATTTAAATTACATGATCGCCTATCACTATTTTAAATTGATTTCAATTAATATTTAGTTTTCATTAAAATAAGTTTCAAATCATATATTTTTTTAATTATACATATACCATTCATATTTTTACAAAATTATAAATTTATCAAGAAATCATTTTTTTTGCAAACCAAAAAAAACTAAACCCTATGAGTGGGGAGTTTTAACCTTAGACAAACTTTAACCTTAAGAAACTAAACAAAACTATAGTTCGATTCAGCTTAGCTATAAATATAGCTCGTATATATATAGTGGTCTATTAGTTTTGGCGTTTGGCTTTATACTCATATCGCACTTATTCATATGATCGCATATCAGTATTTTAAATTAATTTCAATTAATATTTAGTTTTCAATAAAATAAGTTTCAAATCATTTTTTTAATTTATACATATATCATTTATATTTTTAGCAAATTATAAATTCATCAAAAAAATTATTTTTTTTTGTTTTGCAAACCAAAAAGAGCTAAACCCTAAAAGTGAGGAACTTTAACCCTAGAAAAGCTTCCTTACAAAATGTCATCACAATCTTCCTCCAAATTATATTCATTCTCATACAGATCAAAATTCATATTTTGATCAACAATTAAGCGACGCCGTTTTTGATTGAAAGCCTTTTAAAAACAAAATATGATTCACACGCCAATTAACAAAAGAGAAAATTCTAGCAAACAAAATAATGAAAAAGAACAAAATTGGTAATATTCATATCATCGAAATTTCGCATATTAAACTTTACGAATCATCTTTTCGACCAAAAAAAACTTTACAAATCTGATCTTCCTTAGTTAGGAGAGCTTCTCCGCGGGGTCAATTCCACCTTGTCTGGGAAACCCAGGTCTTTTCGAAGATCGAACAAGTCTTGGGCCGTCAATTACGACGGGGGATGGAAGTTGAATTTGGCACTAAGAATTTTTATGTGAATTCGGAGAAAAAACTTTAATCCTAAGAAACCCAGGTCTTCCCGAAGGTCAGACAAGTCTTGGGCCGTCAGCGACGGGGGGTGGAAGCTAAATTTGGCACTAAAAATTTGTATGTGAATTTTTTAGTTTTGAGAAATGTCTATAAATCTGACGGTAAAAAGAAGAGTAAAGCGGAGTTAGATTTTTATTTATGTGAATCGAATATAAAATGAGATCTCGAGTGAGATCTAAGGGGTGGATTTTGACCACTACACAAAATTTTGGAACATTTTAAATAAACATAAATATTAATTTACTTTGAAAATAACTTCTTTTTATTTTTTGAAACTAAATATTTTCTTGTAAAAAGACAGAAATGACCTCATTAAATCCTACAAGCAAGCTATTAGATGTTTTTGGGTGTAAATTAGGAATTAATGAACCCAACAACAACTCTAGATGTAGTCAAACCAGGCCCGGTCTAACTGTCAAACCAATATAGTGCAAAAATGGCAAATAAAAAACACTATAAATTTTTTAAAAATTTTTTTAAATCCCCTATATTTTAAAAAAGTGCAACAAACCCCAAGGAAAAAAATAGAAAAAAACAGTTGGACATGGTACAATGCCCCTAGAACCGGCCCTGAGTCAAACATAATATCTTTTGACAGATACCATACGGGATCGGAACTACCAACGATCATTGTCCCAATATCTTTTTTTATATTTAAATAACTACCAACTATCATTGTTCCAATATCGAACAAGACAAATTGAACAAAGACAAAGTAGACGTAAAATTCTTAGTTTTATGTTAGGGCATTTTTTAACAAG